TTTTTTTTATGAATGACTCGCGATCTACCAGCATTGCCGGTCGACCGCGGTCGACGTACTGGGCACCTCTGGCTAAAGCAACTAAAATCTCTCACCAGCAAAATACCTCGTCAGTTAAAAGCCATTTTACGTTTCATTACTATACCATACAGTATTTATTATCATTATAGTATTACTATTTCGGCGATTAGATAAAATATAAATTATATTTGATGCAACTTTAGTTACATTTCCATGACTTTTCCAAAACTTTGGGAAAATATTGTTTTCCATAACTTTTCCAGGGGCTGGAATTATCATTTTGTATTTCCATGATTTTTCCAGGTTTTTAATGACCGTAAGAACCCTGACACCAGAATCCTCTCTGCAGCCCCCCTCTGGTGACGTGTTAATGGCTCCTTTTCTTTGTTTTTTGTCAGCCGGATAACAGAAAAAGTACTGGTTTGATTTCATGAAGCTTTGGGGTGGTAGGATGAAGCATGGGCCAAGAAGAAGTCACTACATGTTGGGAGCATATCAGATTTGCAAATCCAGTTGAGTTGGACTAAACTCGAGGCGAAATCATATATACTTTAGCATGTTTTCTAACTTCAGGTTTGAATCCACGGAACATCCCTCCCTGTTGAGTACCACTCTGATGCTTATCCTATTTGAAGCACTTTGAATATGTATATATTACTCAAACAATTCTGAACTCTGACAGAACTCATATGTATGCATACGTGACATTCACAAAATATTAATACAAAAAAGGAATTCTCTTAATGTGTGAGTTTTTTAACTGGGGATGTTTGACTCCATTGATCTGCAGTTTCTCCTTTTAAGGGACAAGATGACATAACTGAGTACACAAGTAGCAAAGACTTGCAAATAGTAGAATATGAAATACACTAATAAAATAAAATAAATAAATCTAACTATTAAATAAAGCGCTTTAAAAATCCAATGTATTATTATTATAGCACAAGTGGGGGAACTGTGATGTATGTTTTCCAACACTAGTGATTAAGGTGACATAAGCAAAACTATTGGGATTCATCCACTGAATTAAGTGTTAAACATATTTGTCATTTAGCTGATAAGAGTTTTTGTTCCAGACGTGTATTTTTCTGAAAGTATCTGAGCTGTTGCTCCTGACCGTGAACGCACCGCGGTGACTTTGGAGAGCCTCTCCAGGTCCACGTCTCTCCCCAGAGGGAGGTCTCGGCTCAGGCTGAGCAGCATGGAGCGCCGCTGCTCCTCAGAGGGACTCTCCAGCGCCACCTGGTGGACGAACGCTGATATGACCCCTGCAGACACCTCCCGAGGCCTGCAGACCGTCGCCACCACCACCACGCTGAAACACAGAGACCAGCACCATCACCATCACAGGGTTCATCAAGACCTCAGAGAAATACTAGAACTCATCCGCTGCATTCATTTGACTTTAAAGGTCCCCTATTCTACTGTTTATCATCAATATATTATAGGTCTCAGATATATACAGAACATGTCTCTGAAGTGTTTGGCTCCAAACACCAAACAGATCATTGCAGCATCCCATAATCCCCTCTGTTTCAGCCCTGTTAGAGAAACGCTGATTCCGGGTCTGTAGATTTATCAAAAATAACATTTTAAAAAGACGAGAGCTCATGCAGGAGAATTCTCCCGGCAGATACTCAGCTAAATGCTGCGGTGACGAAACGCCATATCATGTTCTAAACCACATCAAGGATTATTTCTGAAACCGTATGGAGCTCAAATGCTTTTTCTCTTACGGGTTTACTACAAGGTTCCTTTCTTTATTTCCTGCTTTTTTACACATGCTCTCTCCAGTACAGGTTAGCTCTGAGTGTTAGCGATGCTTGCTAATGTAAACACCGACCATATTACGTCCAAAACACGTCGCGCATTGTTTCTGATAGCAACGTTTCTGATTGGGCCGTGGGTGTAAACCCACATTTCAGATATTACGTCATATCGGACGCAAATCTGGATAAACGTCGGTAAGGAGGAAAAGAGAGAGGGTTTTCTTTTTGGATGGTTTGTGAGTCTCATGACGCACCGGGGACACATATTAATGTATAAAAGACATGATAGGGGAATTTGTTAACATTTCTATGTCCTCCACCTGCAGCTAGATCAGCGTTACAGCATTAAAGTGTTAAAGGCAGTGACCTGGTGGGGGCGCTGTGGAGCAGCTGGCTCAGCACGGCCTGCACCCTGCCGTGCTCCTCGGCACCCCCTCGAGGGCGGAGCAGGACCTGCAGGTTCCTGAGCAGCAGGACGCAGGGCTGCATGGCTTCAGCCCGCTGAAACACCGAGCTGAGCTTCACCTCCGAGGCTGCTGGGGTGTCAGCACACACACTCACACAGTCCACCTGCACACAGGACAACAGGAAGTGTAACCATAACAACGTGTAACAACAGTCACACACACACACACACACACACACACTCACAGTCCACCTGCACACAGGACAACAGGAAGTGTAACCATAACAACGTGTAACAACAGTTACACACACACTTACAGCAAGTGAGGGAAATGTTAAGGTAATAAGCTGCATTTATTTTGAAAATCCAGCTGTTTCTTAATGTAGATATGCTATTATCAGAGGGATGATAAATCGAAAACATATATTTATGAGTAGCTAATCTGATACATTTAATGCTTTTATATATATTTAATAATCATTTACAACTCAATGTTTAAAAAAAACGTTCTTTACTATAAGCACTTTGAGAAATACACCTTATGTTTGAATATAAATGCCCATTTAGTCACACATTATAATATATTTAGTTACAATTTTGACCTACTTGTATTTTAGTTGTATTTTTACTCTTCTGTGTAATTCTTTGTGATAAAAACAAATATTATACACAAACTTGAGTGTGAAAAATGCCATTGTGCCCAATGAGTACTTGCACTTTTGAAACTATGCAACACAGTAACATTTCTTATTAAAAAAATTCTATATTTATGAATAGATTACTTTAAAAGACTGGAAAACTTATAATAATCAGATTAATAGGAGGAAGAATAAAAAAGATGAAGAAGGCTGTCTTACCTTCAGCAGGTGGAGGTTCAGTCTCCGACTCGCTGCGCTGACTGCTGTCATCTTCCCACTTCCTGACGGGCCGTGAAGGAGGACGGTGCAGCCGGGCAGAGAGCTGCTACAACCACACAGAACAGTATCAGTACATGACTACATGTCCCATCATGCCTCTCTCTATCACACTTCCTGTCAGAGCTGCAGGCGGACAGTTACCTGTGGTGCAGGTGAGGGAGGACGATGCTGCTGAGGAGCTCCACCGTCCTGAGGAGGCCCGGAGGAGAGAGGCTGCTCCACAGAGAGGAGCCCTCCACTGAGAGGGGGGGGGCCGCGCTGCTGGTGGACGCTTGCTGAGGACACACACACACATTCAGTGACACAGCTGTCAAAGACACAGGCTGCATTGGAATAATCAAAACAATCTTCCTGAATCTTCTCCTAATTGTTTTTTTCCCTAAAAAAGGAAACAGAAAACATCCTGATGAGGGTAAAGAAATATCTGAATAATAATTCATGAGGACTTGGAAAAAGATAAAAAAGGTTTACAGAATCCCACGGTTCTTACACGACTTTGAAGGGATGTTTAGCAACTTTATTTAGAACGCATTGAACATTAGTAGGCTAAACAAACAAACAAACAAACAAACAAACACAACCAACTTTAATTAACTATTAAAGTAAGGGCCTGTACTGTGAAAAACTTTGAAAAACAAACTTTAAAAAGTGATCTGCTGTGTACAATAAAGAGCAACAAGTGATGTTCTTAAAGGCCAAATGTTGAGTTGCTTTAAATGTTGCAGACGCATGAATATAGGATTATCTCCTTTTCTTTGCTAGGATGCTGCGGTGTATCCTATGAGTGACGGAAGCTTTGAAACACATGTCGTTAACATTTAGAGATAATTAAACCAGCTCTTAAAATGCCACTAGGGTTTTTGCAGGTTATTTCGCTGAGTCAGAAACTTGACTAAGCAAACAAGACTATTGAACTGCAGCCACACACACTGACAGGAGGCAAAGGGTCAAAGGTCACCATGTAGAGAGAGGTGTGTTGTCTGTCAGCCAGGAGAGCTTCTCCCTCCTCTTCATCCTCTTCTTCTCTCTCTGCAGACGGACACACCTTCTGCACTTTGAAGTACAGCACCGGACACCTGCCGGAGGTCAAAGGTTGCACTTAGGTCAACACGTCAACAGTTAAAAGATTTTTTAAATAATTAACTGTTTATTGTCAAATTCAAATGTCATAAATGTCCAAGGCAGTTATTAAGATCACTTCATTAACTCAGATGAACCTAACCAACAATAATAACATTTTTGTCTCTACAGAATAATCTTGTTCATGTCAAGCTGAACACGCTGACAAAGCAACATGTCATACATTATCACATGCACGTCCTCTGTAGTCTTCAGCATGCTGGTGAACATCATGTATTCGTGGATGAGTGATCCGTACCTGTGTATTCCCTCTGAGTTGTTCTCCAGCAGGTCTGGATGGTTTTCAGCACGAACGGTCAGGATGTCTCCCTCTGAAACCAGCCTGCAGAGAGAGAGAGGACACTCAGAGGAAAGTGTATAAAAAGCATCCTATAATAATAATAATTATGATTTAGTATCTAAATACCAAAGCTGTCAGGCTGACCTGGGCGTGCTGAAGTGTTCAGACAGCACCGTGTCGTAGCAGCTGAGGCTGTTGTAGAGCGGGGAAACCACGGGCTGGACGTGAAGCTCGCTGGAGAACGCAGGAGAAGCTGAGCGACAGAAGCTGTGAGAGTGCGGACCGCCGGGCGCTGGAGGAGAGGGTCTCCACCTCTGAGAGGACCGGACACAACATGTTATTAAAGGGGGAGAGGCTGAGATAAAGTAGTGACTAAAAAAGGGGACTCTGTATTTGTTCTGTTGGAAATAATTCTGGGGAAATTAACATTTTCACTTGTTGACATACATTTTAAAATAATATGCCTTTAGCAAATATTGCACCCGTGCGCTGCCCACTGCTCCTAGTACTAGGATGGGTTAAATGCAGAGGTCAAATGTCACTATGTGTGCTGTGTGTATGTATGTGTGACCATTAAAGAGGGTGTCATCCTCCAATTCTATCTATCTATTTATCCATATTGCTTTTTGGATAGAATTCAGATGAATTGTTGAGCCCTGGTTGAATCACCTTCATCCTCAGAGTGCAGCTGCTCACGGGGATCACGTCTCCTTCAGTCATGTTGAACCACAGAGTTGCTGATATGAAACCGACTTCCTCCTGGTTCTGCAGATCTGGACTTAGTGATGGATCCAGCACCAGCACAGAGACCAGCCTCTGTCTGCAGACCCCCCCCCTCACATCAGCTGTTCTGCAGGAACCGCCCGGCCGCGACAGCTTCACCCACTCCTGGTTGAACAGCCCCAGCCTGAGGAGCAGCTGTTTGCTCACAAACACACAGCTGTCCACATCCACAGCGACCCCCTGCTGACCTTTGACCCCCCGCCATCGCTGAGTGTCCACCACCCGGACGTCCAGCCTGCACTCCAGCGCCTGCAGGACGCCCGAAAACCCAGAGCCCAGCAGCTTCCTGTTGTCCAGGAGAGAGAGACCGCCTCCGAGGCCGTCAGCGTAATGAGCGAAGTCTGACACGCACAGTCTGAGCGGTCTGATGAGATTAAAGATACAACTTTATTTAACCCCTTAATTCAGGCATTAATAGAAGCAAAAGTGTCAGAATGAAAAACAGGGTTCACACAGGGTAAAAATAAAGATAAAATAGAATACAAATTAAAATAAAGTGATAAATTAGGACGAATTTCATTTCACTGTAGATGTTTTGTCTTGTTCTGTATTTATTTTAATATTGTTGTTATGTTTTCTTCTTGTTCTGTAAAGCACGTTGGGCTGCTTTGTGCATGAAAGGGGTTATACAAATAACGTTTATTATTATTATTATAAATTAACAATTAAAACAAGATATCACAGTAAAAAGTTGTGCATTTGTATGAACATGTTAAATATATTTACATAAGTGTGCAGGGTGGAGGGGCGGCAGGGGGGTCCGGGGGGTCCCAGCAGTCAGTCAGAACCAGAGAGGTGTCGGCTGTGATCCGTCCCTGGGTGACAGGACTGCACTCCAACACCAGCAGCTCCATCACCTTGAGGGGGGGGGGGGAATCAAAACACTTTATTAAAACAGCGGTTCTGGTTTCAGGATTAACTGCATATTTACAATTAAATTAATGAATGCAATAAGAATAAGACAACATGTATTAAAAGTTACTAAACTATGTTTTATTTAAAAAACAGGTGTCTGATTTGTATCAAAAACACTTTTGTTCTTTTGTCATGTTCACATGACAGCATTTTTGATTATTTTCAGTTTTCATCAAAAGTTGCAATTTCTTTTAAAGGATTTTTTTTTTCTCATTTCTCAAAAATGTCAAACTTATATAATTCAAAAACATGGAGCTGAAGAAGTTCAGATTCCGACTTGTAGATGAAGAATAAATAAAGTTATAAATCCCCTGGTCTCTCACCTGTCCCGGGTCCTGTCCCGGGTGTATGGGGGGCAGCAGCAGCGGGTCTCCCTGCCGGGCCAGCAGACACTGTCCCGGGCTGCAGAGCTCCAGCAGCCCCTCGGTGAACCTCTCTCCTCCTGCCCAGAGGAGAGTCTGTCTGCTGCGGGCTCCCAGCACCACTCTGTTCAGGGAAACCGGCTCCATGGCCCGGATAGTCCCGGTGCTCCCGGCCCTCTGGAGCCCGTGGTGCTGCAGGAAGAGCCGGCTGATGAAGAGCCGGACACGGGTCTTGAACTCGGGTCTGGGGGAACCAGGAGTCTCCTCTTCGGTGGTCGGGTGGAGGCGCAGTAAAATGCCCGGCTTACAGGAGCCCTGAGGCGGCTGCGGGGTGAAGAGGACGGTTGGTGGGTCGCTGTCATTCTGGAAGATCGAGTCCAGGTGAGATTGGAAAATCAAAACATCCAGAGGACTGAGGTGAGAGGGGAAAGTTTCCAGGCAACACAACTCCACCTGCAGCGCCATGTTGGACCTGCGTCATCACTGCTTCTTCTTCATGGCTTCCTGGGGGGTCAACACTGCCACCCGGTGGATGAACAGGGTACTACATACAGTTTATAATAATTATCAATTTATATGAGATAAATAAAAACAAATATTTATTTATTTTATGTATTTATTTTTAATTTAATATAATTATTTGTAAAACTAATATTGCAGGTAAGTCGATGGTCAATGGTAGTCAAGGGTGTCAACTTTGGTTTGAGAAGTTGGGGGGGACACAAAACAGGGGGTCCTCCGCAATGACACATTTTCTCGATTTAATTACATTTCCTGCCTTTCTACAAATATATTAGGGACTGTTGTTAAAAAAGAAAAGAAAAATATGTAGTGTATATGATGAGTGACACTCATCATATACACTACAAATTTTTCTGTTGTGATTTAAAAGATAATCATTGATTAGCAGTGCTAATCAATGATTATCTTTTAAATCATTTCTGCAAGTTATTCCTACTCACATCCTTACATTTATACATACATTTATAATAATTTCTCATCTTCAATCACCTCTCTTCATTCTCATAGTTTTTCAAAAAAGTGTTTCTGTACATCCTTTTAAACTGAATTATGCTTGTGCTTTGTTTAACTCCTGCTCCAAACCATTCCATAAAACCACCCCACAGATTGTTATACTCATACTTCTCAGAGTTGTTCTGACCTTGAGTTGTTTCAAATGTAGATTTCCTCTCAAATTATACCCACCCTCCAGAACAACTCTGAGAAGTATGAGTATAACAATCTGTGGGGTGGTTTTATNACAGTCATTTTATTGTAATTTATTTTTATTTATTATTTAATGTAACTTTTTCAATGTCATACCAAGCAGGTATGACTGAGTGCGTTTGACAGTGTGTCTCTGGAAGGGGGGCGGTAATTAGGGGCAGTTCATAAATCCATGTAAACATGACCATTGGTCAGTTAAAACGAGACGCTGCGTGCGCACCTCCTAAACCGGAAGCTCCGGTCGGCTAACCATTATAATCCGTTTATTATTTATTTATAATTGTAATGATGGATTCTCATTAATCATTTTAAAGTTACAGAGACATTGGATTAACCTTCAGCAGCATTTCTATGCCCTTGAACACAGCTTTTGATCACAAAACAGCAAAGGTAAGATATGGCTACATAAAGTGAAGTTGTTTTCTTGCTCTTTCCTGGCTGATAGTTCAATGAGTTTTGTTCGTACAGTGATGAGACGTATACCAAATGTTGCGTCTGCCCCTGGGAGTCTCACAATAATAAGAGCGCTGTTAGGAGAGATAACGAGTGGCATTCACAGTGGCCAATCAGAGTGGTACTCAAACTGGATACGTCACACGGGATGAGGGTACCCAACCAACCAGAATTGTTTAAACTAAGGAAGTAGCGTAATTCATATACCGAGAGCAGCACCGTTTGTCCAGCGGCTAAACGGTATACCAATACCGTCCAATCAGGTACCGGAGCTGACTTTGTACCGGTTCTCGATACCCATCCCTAATGCTAACGCTAAGTTACACTTTAGTAAATGTCTGCTTTTATTTCCTACACTTCAAAAAGTTTCCACAATCTGAAGTGTGGCCTCGCTCTGCGATCAAATGAGTGAAATATGACCCGGGCAGTTTCCCCACCTATTGCATCTTGATGCTACAGCCAATGATGGCGGTCCTCTGCTGTGGCAGGAGGCCAGTCGCTGCAGGCAGCCGTGAAGTTGATCAGAATAAAGAAAGTGAGAGAAATTGAGAGTCTGGAACAGAGATGAAAGACAGTGAAGGCTTCAATATTCAGTGCAAGTAATCAGCCATCTCTCTGCGTATATCTTTATCCTCAACCAAATCTGCTTTCATTGCCACATGCACTTATCCTCGACGGGAAGAGCAGTCACGCACACACTCAGACATTCAGGCAGACACACACACGCCTACACGGAGAAGAGATATGTATCGTCTACAGGAGAAAGAATTTTGCCTTTGGCTTAACAAGGATGATCAAAAGCACTCAAGAATGTAACAAAACAAAAAACAGATAACAATTAACAGCATGTCCCGCGTGCACAATCACTCACACATCACGCTTTATAAATCAGTTGGAACACATATAAGAAGTACAGCGAAATGTGTGCCAATGTTCACTTATAGCAGGCATTGGTCAAATGTGCACTGTCTGCTGAACACTGCAGCACATTCACAACGAGTGGCCTCTTTCAAAGAGCCACACGCTGTGCCACGATGGGATGAGAGAGTGGAGAGAGTGAAGCTCCTTTGTCTGGAGGCTAGTTAATAGTTAAAGCACAGTCCCTCAGTCCGACTGTGTGGACAACTATGTGGAGACAAACTCTTTACAATAGGGCTGTAACTAGGGCTGGACCATAGGAAGAAAATCCAATATCAAATACCTTGAATTTTATATTGTGATGATATTGTGTGGTTGATCACTGATGTATTCAAGAAATATTGACACAATGAGACTCTGATAAATAATCATCAGTAATGTGGGTTTTAACTAAGTTGGTAAAGTCAAATAATAGAAAAAGTCTGGTAAACCCTGAAAATTAATCTACTGATGCAGCCTTTAAAACGAGATAAAAAAAAATCTTATAATCGATAATCAAAATATAAGAAGATAGCAAGTAGTATCTTATCACAATACCCAAATAATATCCATGTATTGCTAAACCCATGAAATGATACCAAAGCTTATGGGTGATGTATTGTGTTTGCTGGTGTTTGTACATTGATCCACAGCCAAAAGTCCAACTTTTCCATTTAAGAAGCAGGTGCTTTTTTCATTGCAGTCAGAATCAGAATCGTTTTTATTACCAAGTATGTTTACACATACGAGGAATTTGCTTTAGTATATGTGGTGCATACAGAGACACATACAGAATAATACGCAGCAAAACAAAACAAATAAAATAGGACTGTTATAAACTATTTTAAGACTATTATAACAAATTAAAAATATTTACATATGACAAATACTACTATATACTGTATGTAAAGTGGAGAGCAGTGCTGATTTAAAAGAGGTAGTGTGGAGTCAGCCTCTCCTGGTTAGGTGTCCATCATTCAGGATGTTTTTACCCCGAGCCGCATTACCAACAAAGGTCTCATACTCACCAAACCAGGTGACAAATGAGCAGAATAAACGGAATTAAGAAGTTTAACATTACAAATGTGCCTTTTTCTGATGCCGTTTGGCTGTCACTCATGTTTGCCCAGCTGGCTTATCTGATACCTTAAAACAAATCCACAGGTGCAATTAATACTAGATAACATAAACATAGAAAGAGTATATTAAATTAAGTTCCTTGGTGTGGATTTAGACCACAAAATCAGCTGGAAACCTCATATCACTCATGTAAAAGCAAAACTGGCTAAAACTATCGCAATATTGGGGAAAGCCAGACACATTCTGAACTGCAACTCATTGTATGCTCTATATAACACACTAATATTGCCACATCTGATTTACTGTGTGGAGATTTGGGGAAACACGTACAAAACCAACCTACAGCCGTTATGCACATTACAGAAAAGGGCTATAAGAGTTATCAATAATGTTGGATATCTTGAACACACTAATGTATTATTTTTGAAGTCACACATTGAAGTTCATTGATCTGGTTAAATTTAAAACGGCACAAATCATGTACAGAGCAAGACATAATCTACTACCTAGGAAATGTTCGTAGACAGAGAGGGTGGGTATAATTTGAGAGGAAATCTACATTTTAAACAACTCAAGGTCAGAACAACTTTGAGAAGTATGAGAATAACAATCTGTGGGGTGATTTTATGGAATGGTTTGGAGCAGGAGTTAAAACAAAGCACAAGCATAATTCAGTTTAAAAGGATGTACAGAAACACTTTTTTGAAAAACTAGGAGAATGAAGAGAGGTGATTGAAGATGAGAAAGTATTGTAAATGTATGTATTGTAAAGATGTGAGTTGGAATAACTTGCCAAAATGATTTAAAGGATAATCATTGATTAGCAGTAAGTAAGGGGTGGGAATTAATAAGCATTTGCTTCCTCCTGCTCCCTTTCGGACACATATGATCTATTATTATTATTATTATGAATATATTTGTTAAATATATAAATATTATTATGAATACATTTATTATTTGTTTTTTAAAATCTGTTCGAAATAAAGATGGAAATTAAATGAACTGTTCCAAATAAGACTGAGATGAGCCTGCATGACGCCAGGTAGTTTATCCTCATTCACAGCTTAATGACCAATAAGTAGGGAGAATACCCACAGTAAATCAC